AATTTTTATCTCTTATTTGAATGTAAAATTTTTAATATACTGAATGTATTTAAATATTTTTCATACTTTAATATATATGAATTATGAATTTATTAAATTAATTGTCCTATTTTAATTTTCAAAGATAATAAGTTATTAAGTGCTAAAATCTTACAATAACCTATCAAATATGAAAATTTTGAACGTATGTTGATCGAAAAATGATTTGTTTTATGAAGGATCATTGCAATCAATACTTTTATTAATCTATTATATCAATAATTATTAATTATTTCATTTTCAGGTGTTTCGAGTTGAGACGGATTCAGCTTGGACCGATATGATGGATATTCAGTTAAGCGTCACTCCACCAAGTCAACCGCGTGAAAATCCATTTAGTAGCATATTCCGACGAAAACGTCAAAATTTCGGGGCTCTTCCGTCATTCTGCATGTGTGAACCACCAAAACCAGTTTGCCCTCCAGGCCCTGCAGGACCACCAGGTCGAGCTGGTGAAGATGGACGTAAGTTTTTTGTTCACTCTTTTCTTTTTAGTGTTGAAAAATATACGAAATAATTTATTCATAAAAATAAAATAATAAGTTTTCACAGTAAAATTTGCTTGAATTTTCAGCACCTGGACCACCTGGACCACCCGGACAAGATAATAATGAAAGTTATCCACCAGTTACTTGTCCACCACAAGATACATCATGTATCAAATGCCCAGCAGGACCAGCTGGAGCACCAGGACCAAACGGTGCACCAGGACCCGCTGGACCAGATGGACCACCAGGATTACCTGGAAGTGGAGGTAATGGTGGACGGCCTGGACCGCCAGGCCCACCAGGTAATGCTGGAGCACCAGGACCAGCCGGTGCTGCAGGACCAGCAGGCCCACAAGGCAGAGAGGGTACACGTGGTAGGGGATTACCAGGACCAAAAGGAGCACCAGGCTCAGCAGGACCTATGGGACCACCTGGGCCAAATGGACTCAGAGGTGCAGATGGAGCACCAGGACCGGCGGGACCAGAAGGACCTGCAGGTACTCCAGGTATCCCAGGACCCGATGGAAATCCTGGTTCGCCTGGTGGATCAGGTCTTCCTGGAAATGATGCCGCTTACTGCCCATGTCCACCACGATCTGTCGTTTATCTTAGACGATTCTCGCAATAATTGCCTCATTAAATCACATACACTGAATAAATAAAACTGACTAATTAAATCTGTCTATTGCAATCTAACTTTACATTTATGTAGCAATGTAATATTCAATAATGACCTCACTAAAAATTACGTAAATGTCAAATACGTAAACGAAATTACGTAAATTCATAATGTAATCTTATTGTCAAATTATCCATCAAAAAATAGCAATTTTCTCTGATTAATAATTACAATTGCATAATGGTACAAATCCAGCAATCTTTATCACAACTGATTGATCTTTCGAAGGATTTTGAATAAATAAATCCCTAAAGAGATCATTTTTCGAGAATACAATTTCGAGAATGTCTTTGTGAATATAACTTTGATAAGAGATGTCATAATTCGAGAAAAAGAATGCTTACTTTATTATGCTTAAGTAAAAAGTATTAAAAAAATGAGAATAATTTGAAACCACTGTTCTTTTCGAGGAAATTTAAGAAAGTTTGGTTGTTGTGTACAGCATACTAACTAACTATGGTTTGTTACACCGTAGATGATATTTTTTGCTGAACAGTCAAGTAAATGCAAATTAGAATATTCATATTTTTTATGTTAATATATATTAATGTATATTAACTTTTTTACAAAAAATGCTAACAATGGATTAATTAGAAAAGTGAAATTAAGCATT